TTTCTTTCTTTTCTTTCTTTCTTTCTTTCTTTCTTTCTTTCTTTCTTTCTTTCTTTCTTTCTTTCTTTCTTTCTTTCTTTCTTTCTTTCTTTCATCTGTCACAGGACTTTAACTCAGGGCTTGAGCAGTGTCCCTGAGCACTTTTGCTCAAGGTTAGTGCTCTACCACTTTGAGCCACAGCACCACTTCTGGTTTTCTGGTGGTTAATTGGAGATAAGAGACTTTCCTGCCCATGCTGGCTTTGAACCATGATCATCAGATCTCAGCCACCTGAGATGCTAGGAATATAGACGTGAGCCATCAGTGCCTGGCTTACAGCTATTCTTTCTGCAATGTTTTCTGCAGAGTACTGAGTTAAAATGAATGGATGCGAAATAGTCCTTGTTTGGAGATTAAATAAAGTACTTCATTCTCTTCCATGAAACAGTATGTCCCATTGAACTTTATAAAAGGGACAGTCAATTATCTTTTATATTTTTTAAGACTTAGCAACAAGAATAAAATTTCCCACTCTGTTTATTATTATACCTTTTTTATTATTTATTATGATCCCAGGATGGTCATAACATCTTTAGATGGTAAGGCCATAAACTATAGTGCAAATACAATTGACATCTTCCTGTCATTCCTTTAATAGGACATAAAACCTTAGTGGTGAGGTTGCACATTTAGTTTGTGATGTAGAACCTTATAAAAAATGTTATGCATATAGTTCGATTCTAGGTAAACATTCTGACCAGTCATTCTGATACAAATTAAGTCACTAAAATGAACATGTGACAAGTGAGAAAGACAGCCCCTTCAAGGATGAGTCAGAAAAGTTTTAGGAGAAGCCACCAAAAGTATATGCAACTTAGAATTAGAATTACTTTTTACCAGTGCATTTCCTGAACTGGAAGGAATTGCTACTGGACAATGATGTAGACATGTTATCTGAGATTAATGCAGAAGATTTGCATTACAGTTTGCTTTTTTTTTTTTTTAAAGACCTTAGAGGCTGGGAATATGGCTTAGTGGTAGAGTGCTTGACTAGCATGCATGAAGCCCTGGGTTCAATTCCTCAGTACCAGAGAAACAGAAAAAGCTGGAAGTGGCACTGTGGCTCAAGTGGTAGAGTGCTAGCCTTGAGCAAAGGAAGCTCAGGGCTTGAGTTCAAGCCCCAAGACTGGCAAAAAAAAGAGTGTAGAAATCTGAGGAAACTTCCAACTGTGAATTTCTATGTGAAACAAACTCCTGAGTTGTAAACTCATGGAGTTTTAAATTCTAGTTAACTCATTAAATTACAAAAATTAAATCTTAAAAATGTTGTCATTGATTTTTAGGATTTAAGAAGTGACCATAGAACCTCAATGGTAAAAGTGTGGGTTCTGGGAGAATTGAGGACGTGTTGCCATGTTGGCGTACATTTGTTTATGAATTATCTGTAAACACAGTGGCTCCTGATGCAAATGCACGGTGAAGAAAAGAAAGCATATTTTAGCAAAACATGAAAGGATTTATACATTTATTCAAGGATCAAAACAGTTAACCCTTTCCACAGTAAAAGATACTAGGTTCATATGGTTAATTCATAATGGATAGATGATATAAAGCCCCTTCATGTTTTCATTTCTCTGTTCAACACAGGATGTGGATAATGCGTCTCTGTCACGCCTTGACCTTGAGCGTAAAGTGGAATCGTTGCAAGAAGAGATTGCCTTTTTGAAGAAGCTACATGATGAGGTACGTGGACCAAGGCTGAGCGAAGGAATGAAGCCAAAGCTCCCTTCATAACTCTGCATGACTGGCCTGTCTCTTCTTCCCTCAGGAGATCCAGGAGCTGCAGGCTCAGATTCAGGAGCAGCATGTCCAGATCGACATGGATGTATCCAAGCCTGACCTCACTGCTGCTCTGAGGGACGTCCGTCAGCAGTATGAAAGCGTGGCCGCAAAGAACCTCCAGGAGGCGGAGGAATGGTACAAGTCCAAGGTAAGGGGATAACCAATGTGGCCAGAACACAAGCAAAGAGCTGTCCTCTGCAACCATGTACCTCTCTGTGATTCCTACATATAATTTCAGCTCTGTTCCATTCCCAAGCCTGCCTTTTAACTTGTTCAAACTGCTTCCAACACCTCCCTTAGAACAGCAGGGACCCCATTTGCTTTCACCAGGCCTTTAACCTCCACTATTGTTCTTAAGTGAGCGAAGTAGACTGAATTCTACTTGAAAACCTACCAGCCTCAACATTCCACTGATCTTTCCCTGGCTTTCAAAACAGGGGTTTGGTTCCATTCCAGAAAGCACAGAGTGTTATGATCTCTCTCTTCCTAAGCGAGCAGAAAGGTTGGGATGTGGCAGATCTTCATGCTGATTTCTTCCTGACAGTTTGCTGACCTCTCAGAGGCTGCTAACCGCAACAACGATGCCCTGCGCCAGGCGAAGCAGGAGTCCAACGAGTACCGCAGACAGGTGCAGTCCCTCACTTGCGAAGTGGATGCGCTTAAAGGAACTGTAAGTACCTGGCCATGGTGAAACTGAGGGATAATGAGCTGGTGACCAAGCTAATGGTGATTCCTGAGCAAACTTTCAAATTGAATTATATGTATAACTTATAGATGATATAAATTATACTTTTGCTGGTTAATTGGAGATAAGAATCTCATGGACTTTTCTGCCCAGGCTGGCTTTAAATCACGATCTTCAGATCTGAGTCTCCTGACTAGCTAGGATTACAGGTTGCAGGTGTGAGCTACCACATATCTGACTAAAAATTCTATCTATCTATTTATCTATTATATATATATGTATATGTACACATATATCATCTTATTGCTATTTTTTTGCCAGTCCTGGGGCTTGAACTCAGGGCTTGGACACTGTCCCTGAGCTTCTTTTGCTCAAGGCTATTTATTGCTATTATTAAGATCTTCAAAAAAGAAAGGCACTTACCTGCCTTATGACATGGTAATCCCTCTGTACAGTATCTTTTAAATTTTTATATTTTTAATCCAAAGAAAATGAATTGCCTTGACAGATTGGGAAACCACTAAATGGTGTGGTTCGCCTGTAATCTCAGCACTTGGAAGGCCAGGGTAGGAGGATTGTGAGGTTGAAGGTAGCCTATTCTACATAGTGAGACCCGACCCTCACAAAACAAAGCAACAACACCCAAGGAAGACATGGTACTTTTATTCTCCATCACAAATTAGATAGGGGAACCAATTGCCAGTAAGGTAAATTATGGTGCATGGTGTATTAGTGGTTCTCAGAATAGCTGGCTGCTTGTGGAAAGTAACCTCAGCAGCCCCTCTCACTTCTTGTAGAACGAGTCTCTGGAACGCCAGATGCGTGAAATGGAAGAGAACTTTTCTCTCGAAGCTGCTAACTACCAAGACACTATTGGCCGCCTTCAGGATGAGATTCAGAACATGAAAGAAGAGATGGCTCGTCACCTTCGTGAATACCAAGACCTGCTCAATGTTAAGATGGCCCTTGACATTGAGATCGCCACCTACAGGAAGCTGCTGGAGGGCGAGGAGAGCAGGTAGAGGGCATAGACTTGCATATATGAATGAATAGTTGACCTTCTCAAGGTGCTTTGTCTCCTAGGCTATGGCCATTATCTTCTCTAATCATTAGGACATTTCTTCCAGAGAGCTCATTGTATAGATGTGGACTTAAGTGACTTGCCATAGTTAGAGCTAATTAATGGCAGATCTGGGATTTGAACCCAAGTCTTGGTCAAAGCCAGGGCTCCTTCCTTTCTATAATCCCAGTAGTTCACACCTTGGTGGAGTAAATGCTTGGAGTAAAATCTTTCAAATGTACTTAAGGAGATCAACCAAGGATAAATGCTTACAAAACAACCTATGAATTACCAGAGACAATTTTCCTATTTGACAAAAGATATTGCATAAAAATGTATCCCTTGTTGGCTATTATCCAATCATTTTGCTGATATTCTCTATCATTTTTTTAAATAGGATTTCTCTGCCTCTTCCAAACTTTGCCTCCTTGAATCTGAGAGGTAAGTGCTTCAATTCATTTGTGAAAAAAAAAATCACCAGACTCATTTTAAAATGTCTGCAAGAGGAAAATTATATAAAATATCCATCATTTCGGTTTTCATTATAGATTTCATTTTATTTATTTTTTCATCGGTCCAGGGCTTGAACTCAGTACGAGTTCTTGAACTCACAGACTTGCATTCTCACTTGGTTTTTTCACTTAAATATAATATCCTATCGTATGAGCCACACCGCCATTTCCAGTTTTTTGCTGGTTAAGTATAAATAAGAGTCTCTCAATCTTTTTCTACACAAGTTGGCATGAAACCAAGATCTTAAAACCTCAGATCTTAGCTTCCTGAGTAATGAAGGATTATGAGCATGAGCCATGGATACCCTGCTTATATTTTTGCTTATATGTGGTTCAGACCTATGACCTTGTGCATGAGAATCAAGTGCTCACCACTTGAGCTATAATCCCAGCCCAACTGCCATAATTTTCTAACCTAAGTATACTCTTGTACTCTCTACCTCAAGATTAGTATGAACTCTATTTTACTTATTCCTAAGGGCGTATACATTCAAGTGCTAGCTTACCCAGAAACTAGCCCGTATTAGCCAGCAAGTTTTCAAACAGACAATGCCTTATAGAAATGTTTTGGAGTAGCTCTTTAAACAGTTGCAAAAACAGATCATAATAACTACTTTAATTTTTCATTATTATTCATTTTTATGTTTTTTTAATTCAGAAACTAATCTGGATTCACTTCCTCTGGTGGACACCCATTCTAAAAGAACACTTCTGATCAAGACAGTGGAAACTAGAGATGGACAGGTTGGTATCTTTTGGATAAAAAATGAACTAGAACAATCAATAACAATTTTTAAAAAACATTACAGCATTCCAGATAGGCATTTTTTTCTCTTTTAAGTCAATGCATCAGGCACAGTTAGCTGCCTTGAGAAGTTCTTGTTTCTCTGTGTCTACTAAAAGAACAGGCAACTAATCATATATATAGGGTTAACTAATTATTTGTTTGCTGGAGGTGAAGATGAGCTAGTGCATTTCCTGCCCTCCAAAAGTACTAATTTATTCTGGTGCTTAATTGGAAATATGAAGTAAACTTCATGTTCCTCCATAATATAACCATGTTAAACTACTTCAGTTCATGAGTTCTGTACTCCCTCCCCTCTCTTTCTCCCTCCTTCCCCCTCCCTCCCTCCTTCCCTCCCTTCCTTCCTCCCTCCCTCCCTATCTTCCTTCTTTCTTTCTTCTCTCCCTCCCTCCTTTCCTCCCTCCCTTCCTTCTTCCTTCCTTGCTTCCTTCCTTCCTCCCTCCCTCCCTCCCACCCTCCCTACCCTCCTTTCCTCCCTCCCTTCCTTATTTCCTTCCATTACTGGGCATGAACTCTGAGTCTCAGTTGCTAGGTAAGCACTCTACCAGCCAGCTTTGTCTCCTGCAGCACTTTTAGCACTGGTTATTTTGCCTGGGTTGCAGTCCTCCTGTTTACCACTTTCTCCAGTAGATGGGATGACAGGTGCATGCTACCATGACTAACTACTTCCACTAAAATGGAGTCTTGCAAACTTTTGGGTCCAGACTGTCCTTGAAATGCAATTGTTATGATTTCAATTTCCCATGTTGCTAGGATTACAGGCATGAGCCATCACATCTAGGTATAAATATTGTGGGTTTTTTTTCTGCACTCCATTAGACACTTATTTTAGCTGTAGGTGAAGGTGACCTTACATGTGTAGTTGCTTCTCCTTGTTGTCACCTTGCCACATAGAACACATGACCTTCCAGCTTGCACAACACATGATCCATGCTTAGTAGGATTTTGTTTTTGCTCTGATTGATGGGATAATTTAGAGATTTGCATGCAGTATTCAATTTGATTTAAGGCTTATTTCTTCTCTTCACAGGTTATCAATGAAACTTCTCAGCATCATGATGATCTTGAATAAAAATTGCACACTCTCAGTGCAGCAATATATTACCAGCAAGAATAAAAAAGAGAATCATATCTTAAAGAAACAGCTTTCAAGTGCCTTTCTGCAGTTTTCCAGGAGCACAAGATAGATTTGGAATAGTTATAAGCTCTAGTTCTTAACAACCGACACTTCTAAAAGATTTAGGGGGAAAAACCGTTTACAACACATAATCTAGTTTACAAAGAAGTCTTGTGCTAGAATACTTTTTAAAAAGTATTTTTGAATACCATTAAAACTGCTTTCTTTTTCCCAGCAAATACCTGACCAACTTGTTTCTGCTTTAATAAACCTTTGGAAAAACTCTTCTGATGTGTTATTTACTTTTCTTTTAGGTCCTATTGGATAATTTGTTGCTAAAATCAGTTCTAGGTTTTAAGGTAACTTAATGAAATTTATTTATACTGAAGATATAGTTTGATAGAGTTCATTTTTCTTTGATTGTTATTATTATCACTATTTTTTTTTTTTGGTCCGGTCGTGGGGCCTGAACTCTGGGCCTGGGCACTGTCCCTCAGCTCTTGAGCTCAAGGCTAGCGCTCTACCACTTGAGCCATAGCGCCACTTCCAGCTTTTTTCTTTTTGCTTATGTGGTGCTGGGGAATCGAACCCAGGGCCTCATGCACGCAAGGCAAGCACTACCATTGAGCCACCTTCCCAGCCTCTTAAAAAATATTTTTATAACTCCTCCCCAGGCCTGCCCCTGGTATCCATGCCCAGCTGTCCTTCAAGAGGATATATTTGCAATAAATATATAAACTGTGAAATGATTGTAACATTTGGAAAATGCTATTAAACACAAAACTAAAATTCCTGCCTATTCTGGGAAGGTGAGATTATGGCATCTCAATCACATGGTTAAACAAGACTAACTCTTAGGGCTGGGAAAGTGGCTTAGTGGTAGAGTGCTTGCCTACCATGCATGAAGACCTGGGTTTGATTCCTCAGTACCACATAAAGAGAAAAATCCAGAAGTGGTATTGTGGCTCAAAGGGTAGAGTGCTAGCCTTGAGCAAAAGGAGCTCAGAGACAGTGCCCAAGCCCTGAGTTCAAGCCCCAAGACTGGCAAACAAACAAAAAAAACCAAGAATCACTGTAAGTATGTGAGGATTCAAAGCCTGAAGCAATAAGAATACATTGTCTACTTATGTAAAGCTTTCTACATGCCAACCAATATGAGAAGAATTCAGGAAAGGGAAGATAAAATTTAGAAGAGAAAATATTTCCTGCAACGCAGTTGTAATGGATGATAGCGTGTGTTCTGGAATGAAACCCTTTGAGATACATTCTTAGATTTCTCTAAGTCCCAAATTCCTATATTATCATTATCTCTCTCTTCCAAAAATTATGTGGTAGACATTTTTCTTCTTTTGAGTGGTATTAGGATTTGAACTAAGGGCTTTGCTCTTGCTGAATGTGCTTACTTGGTTAGTGCTTTACCACTTGAGCCACACCTCTACTTCTGGCTTTTTGCTGTTTCTTTTCTTTTTTGGGGGGAGGGGGGGTTGTGTTGTGGGGCCTGAACTCTGGGCCTGGGCGCTGTCCCTCAGCTCTTCAGCTCAAGGCTAGCGCTCTACCACTTGAGCCACAGTGCCACTTCCGGCTTTTTTTTTTTGCTTATGTGGTGCTGAGGAATCGAACCCAGGGCCTCAGGCGTGCAAGGCAAGCGCTCTACCACTGAGCCACCTTCCCAGCCCTTTGCTGTTTATTTTCTAGTGAATGTTTTTTTTGTTGTTGTTGTTTTTGTCTCCAGACTGGCGCCAAACCCACAGTCCTCGGATCTCAGACTCCTGACGTTAGAATGACTAGCCAACAACGCCTGGCTGTTGTAATTTTTGAATTAGTAACCATTGTTGCCTGCTGAGCACAGCGGTAAGGTAGTTTGCTTAAGACCTTGCTGAAAGGTAATGACATTAGCTGTGTTCATCATTTAGTAGCCAGAGGCATTGCAGGAGTAAAGAAAGGATTGGCTACTGAGGTAACTCTAGTGTTAGTGATTACACCCTGGCTTGACTGGCACAGTCAGATGATATTCATTGCTTCAGCACTATTAGGAATCATGCCCCTTTCTGATTCCCAAGTGTACTAGTTTATGTGGTCACCCTAGTCTTAGAATAATAGGAAAAGCTACTGATCAAAGGGTCCACTCCTCTTATCCCCTCCCACATTCTAATAACTGGTAGATTAAACGTGTGATCAACAATACCAGTCCAGTATAAAATATGGAGATCTTTAGGCCCTTAAGAAACATTTTCTGGAAAAAAATTAATGTGAAGTAGATTCACATTTTAAATGTAAAGTCAATATAAGTGTCTACTTCTGCTATTGTAAAAATTGTTTTTCAAATTAGGAATCCATGGAACATTCTTCAATATAATAAAGGCTATGGATGACAAACCTACAGCTAGTATTATACTTAATAGCAGAAAGTTAAACTCTGGAACGAGACAAGGATGTCTGCTCTCTCCACTCCTCTTCAACTTAGTATTAGAATGCCTAACTACAGCAATAAGACAAGATGCAAACATAAAGGGGATCCAAATAGAGAAAGATGAAGTAAAACTCTCCCTCTTTGCAGATGACATGATCTTGTATTTAAAAAGAACCCCATAGAGTCCACTCCCAAATTACTTGAGCTGATCCAAAACTTTGGCAAAGTAGCAGGATATAAAATGAACCCTCAAAAACCAATGGCTTTCTTGTATGACAATAACAAAAGGAGTGAGGCTGAAATTAGGAAAGCTCCAGAAAAAATAAAATACCTAGGAGTTAACTAAAGAGGTGAAGGACCTCTATGATAAAAACTTTAAGGCCTGGAAAAGGAAATTAAAACAGAACTAGGGAAGTAGAAAACCTCCCATGCTCCTGGATTGGGAGGATTAACATCATGAAAATGGCAATACTGCCAAAGGCTATATACAAATTCAATGTGATACCTATCAATATCCCAACCTCATTCTTCAATGAAATAGAAGAAGCAGTCCAAAAATTCATATGGAACAATAAATGACCCCGAATAGCAAAAACGATCCTTAACTGAACGAACAGTGCTGGAGGGATATCAATACCAAATTTCCAACTATACTACAAAGCTATAGTAACAAAAAGAGCTTGCTACTGGCACAAGAACAGACCTGAGGACCAATGGAATAGGAATGAAGACTCAAAAATGAACCTACAGACCTATAGCCACCTAATCTTCGATAAGGGAGCTAAAAAAATAGAATGGAAGAAAGACAGCCTCTTCAGTAAATGGTGCTGGCAAAATTGGCTAAACACCGTGGAAAACTAAAGCTAGATCCTAATTTATCACCCTGCACCAGAATCAACTTCAAATGGATCAAAGAACTCAGAGTCAAAGCAGACACTATGAAAACATTACAGGATGGAATAGGAGAAACCCTAGGTCTCCTTGGCACAGGCCGAAAATTTCTTAATAGGGGCCCCAAAACACAACAAATCAACAAAAGTTTGGACAAATGGGATTGCATGGAAACTGCAGAGTTTCTGCATGGCAAAGGACGTAGCTAGCAAGATCTTCACGAGCCATAAAATGGACAAGGGTCTCATATCTAAAATATACTTAGAACTCAAAAATTTAAATCCCTCAACAACAAATCATCAGAGAAACAACTGCCTGATAAATAAATGAGCTAAAGACTTAAAGAGAGACTTCTCTGAAGAGGAAATAAAAATGGCCATCAGACATGTGAAGAAATGCTCATCTTCTCTAGCCATAAAAGAAATGCAAATCAAGACAACATTGAGATTCCACCTTACTCCAGTTAGAATGGCTATAAAATAAAAATAATAACAACAGATGCTGGAGGGGATGTGGCCAAAAGGGAACTCTACTGCATTGTTGGTGGGAGTGTAAACTTGTTCAACCACTTTGGAAAGCAGTATGGAGATTCCTCAAAATATTCCACATAGAGCTCCCCTATGACCCAGCAATCCCTCTTTTGGGCATTTACCCAAATGATCATAAACAAGGTCATACCAAAGCTACCAGCACAGCCATGTTTATTGCAGCATGATTCACCATAGGTAAGATATGGAATCAACCCAGATGCCCTTCAGTAGATGAATGGATCAAGAAAATGTGATATATATATATATATATGTATATATATATATACATATATACATACATACATACATACACACACACACAATGGAATTCTATGTCTTCATCAGAATGACATCACCCCATTTGTTAGGAAATGGAAAGATTTGGAAAAAATTATACTAAGTGAAGGAAGCCAGGCCCCCCAAAATAGGTCCTATGGCTTCCCTTATTTGCAATAACTAGTACATGTCTAGGACAAGCAGAAAAGGCCAAAAGCTATGTACATATGACCATATAAGATGATGTTAAGTGAAATGAACCCAAGACAGGGACACAAGTGGTTTTGTTTTTCTTTCTTGCTATTGTTTTTAATGTACTATGTGATTTTTTTGTTTCTTTTGTATGTTCTTCCCCAATGTTATAACCCCTATCTTCACTGTATCTGATTCCGATGTCCTGCATCTTGTATATACATTTTTGTAATTTGGGGAGGGGAAGGGATATAGCAAAATGCTTAAATAAGGATACAGGTTGACCCATTCTAACAATGAGATGTATAAGACACTATGTTGAAAACAGACTTTACAATTTTGGATGGGAGGGAGGGAGGGAGGAGTTGGGGAGGAAGGGAGGGAAGGGATGGTAGAGAAAAAACAACAGAGGAGGTAACAATGATAGGAAATGTACTCATTACCCTACTCATGTACCTGTAACCCCTCTGTACAGGATTTTTACAATAAAAATATATATGAAAAATTCATTTTTCAAGCTAGGTGCTGCTGGTGGCTCATGCCTGTAATCCTAGCTACTAAGGAGGCTGAGATCTGAGGATTGTGGTTCAAAGCCAGCCTGGGCAGGAAAATCTGTGCAACTCTTATCTCCAATAAACCACCAGAAAACCAAAAGTGGCATTGTGGCTCAAGTGGTAGAGTGCTAGCCTTGAGCTGAAGAGCTGAGGAACAGTGCCCAGGCCCAGACTTAAACCACCACAACTGACTCAAAAAAAAAAGTTTTTCTATCAATCACAGGACTTCATAATGATTAGATTATGAAACAGGAATGGAACAATAAACAAACATTTTTTTTAAAGCGGCTAACTATAACCCATCTGTACAGTATTTTTACAATAAAAAAAACCATAAAAAAGCAGCTAAGAATGTGGCTTAGTGGTAGAGTGCTTACTTCCCATGTATGAAGCTATGAAGCCCTGGGTTTGATTCCTCAGTACCATATAAACAG